CCTCCACCCCAATTGCCAATAGCGATGGTCTCCAACCTACTAGCGATAGCCTCCATCCTAACAGCGATGGACTCCAACCTAGAAGCCTAGAAGCAATGGCATCCAACCTAATAGCGATGGCGTCCAACCTAGAAGTGATGGCCTCCAACCTAGAAGCAATGGCCTCCTCCAACCTTTTAGCAATGGCCTCCACCCCAATAGTGATGGCCTGCAACCTAGAAGCGATGGCCTCAACATAGTAGCGATGGCCTCCATCCTAATAGCGATGGCCTCCAACCTAGAAGGGATGGCCTCCAACCTAGAAGCGATGGCCTCCAACTGGAGCTATCAGAATCCAACAGTGACAAAGTGTTGAAATCTCTCGCCACAATTAGCTTGCAAAGAGCGACTTGTTGCCAGATGACAGAGGAGCTGAGTTTCGTCCTATTCATCTAGAGCCGTGTTTTGTCGAACTCTTTCAGTCCCTTCAGAGGGGACAAAGGCTTTTCAGTGGTTGACTCTGAAATCAACCAAGAACGAGACGTGAAGTCGTGTTTCTTTTCATTCATGTCCCGGACAAGGACGCTACTAGGGGCTCCTGGCCTTACTACTAGGAGCAAGAAGCTACTAGGGGCTCCTGGCATCACTACTAGGAGCAAGGACGCTACTAGTAACAAGAACCAATCGAACCGGTCACCTGCTGTGAAATTCAGCACCGCTGGAGACGTCGCAGTTCGGAAAGGCTGGTCCACATTTCTCTCCAGAACTTGGTCCTGGGACCCGTATGGCTTGTCGGTCGCGCTTTTGGAGCCCAAGTCATCTCTGACACCGTTGTTATGTTTCTGTCTTTTCCTTTCTTTTTGTTTCTGGTTCTTTTTTTTGAGCCCACTCCATCCCGCTCCTACTTAATTAAGTAAGGGACAGACTTGTTCGCTTCTAGCTACTAGGACGCTAGAATATGGACGCAGGATAGCTCACGCTTCTTTAAGGAAGCACTCGCACTAATGATTTGGTTCCCATATTTTGGGAGAACTTAACGGTAGCCGGTAGCTACATTCAAAAGTGTTTTGTGGCCATTGTGGCTTACTTGCTTCAAACAAAAAAAAACATGGGTCTGACCTAGGTCAATGGTGTCGACTGTGGGCGTCAGTCCTGAAAAGACAACCTTGGATCTGGCACAACAAGACAGAGCATAGCTGAGTTTCAACGCTCTGAAAAATGTCAAACCTCTTTCAGGTCCAAAATCGTTTAAAAAATAAAAACAAAATAAAATAAAATAAAAACTGTCCAGAACTGTCAGTTATTTTTCTCCGTGTTCTCCTGTCCAATCGCTGAGTCCCTGTTCTCGATGCTTGCTCAGAAACTTGAAGCAAATGCCCGAAGCAAAGGAACCGCCGGCCATGTCATAGAGGTCCTCCGGGTGAAGGGTACCCTTAGGGAACCCCTCCTGACATTAAAGAACGCCTGTGACCTGCCTGTAAAGCATGCTTTGATCTGCTCTGTCGGGTCAAGAGTATCTTCAATCCCTTTCTACAGGAAGCCGGCAACTTTCCAGCTTCAAATCATATTTCAATTGCATCTTGCAATTGAAGCTAAGTAGCTAAGGATTTGTCTATAGCCTTCATGTATATAACTCAACTGAGTTCGTTCGCAAGCAAGAGAAATTGAGATCAAACCTGCAATGCTTCGGGGGAAACCCCTCTGCAGCTCCTCAGCATGGGTATTTCTGGGTACCTTGAACCTGGGAAGGGGCGTGATGCAGGGACCTAGTTACGGAGGATAACATTGACTTGGAAATTTCTGAGCCAAAGCTAAAGACCTACACTGTATACTGCGTACAAGTAGTTCCCGGGCAAGCCGGCGGCGGAAGTTTCCAAAAGAATAAGCCTACTATAGGAAATGGGCATGTGGCAGGCTGATTCGCCGAGATGCGATGTTCTTTGACAAACTAAGTTGGAACCGACCAATGGAGCGAAAGCGAAGCAACCACCGTCAACTGTCTCGCAGGAAAAAACGTTGTTCATGCATTTTTGCAAAATACAGAATAGAGATGACTCAGCCGCGTACTAAAGTTGTACTACAAAGTCGCCAGTTCTCATCTTCCAGCTCCCCAGATACTCCGCGTAC